AAAAAATGGATCCGAATTTTTTTTTTATTCACGTGATTTTAATGGTTTAATTTAAATTGGATAAACAGCTGTTGATGATTGTTTTAATATGTGTACAAATAAGGAGGTTAACAGATCTGTTTGTTTACTTTCACCTTTCCTTTTCATTATATTTAATAATTCTGTTCAGGATAATGTAAATTGTTCAGAAAATTGTTTTCTTAGTACCTGTTGGAATGTTACATAATTTTTTTTTTTAGCATCATTGCCAGAATTCCTATCTTCATCCCAGTGCCAGTGAAGACAAAGATAAAACCAAACTACAGCTTCTTCAATAGTTATCACAACAAACTGTATAAACTGATGCATCAATGAATAATAACTCAACAAGTAATGCTCAGTCAAGGAGTCGATTTACTTTGGGAGGAAATGGACATATTGATAGATTCCTCCGCTTTTAACTGCTTGCAGAACTTGCCTGGACTATGTATCATTTGTATACATTGTGAACTATCTGTTGGTACAGCAAATTGTGGTAGTGCTGGCGTATCTTTGCTGATGGTGTCACCGGTGATACAGTTTTTCCAAAGGAGCCGTCAATTGGCTTGGTGTCGTGGCATTTCTGTATCCTCCTCCCTTCTACTAGTGATGGTCTAAAATTTGGGGGCCAACAGAGGTGAGGCAAAGAACCTCACCCCCCACACACTGGTGCAAAGGCCTATCCACAAGTATGGCTGTATGCTGGACCAGTAGTCAGCGACGGGTATGATCCAATTACAGTGGTACCAACCTAAGACAGGAGGCTGACGCCTAGAGGTCAGCTCATCCGATGACGGGTAAGAACCATATGTTGTATTGGACAACCTAACAGGCACGGTCCCTAAGCCACATTGCTTGTTGTTTAATTAAACAGAAGGGGGGAGATGCTGAGAGCCACAGCCAAGTAGGAATGATGCATGGCATTTTTGGTTGAAAGGTGACCCCAGCAAGCCATTGAGATAATGATTATGTTAAGATGCGCATTCAATTGGAGATTAGACCCCTGCTGTCTGCCTTGGCCTGCTACTTTGGAGCTCTCGCGGGATTCCAGGAGAGTTCCCATTGGTTGGGGAAGTGTGGTAGGAGGGAATTCCGGAGGAGGGATTTCCTGTTGGAATAGTGTGTCCCGGGAGGAGCCGCGTGGCATGGTTCGGCATTTTTCCCAGGAGCGTGTGTGGAGTGTGCTGGTGGAGTTCAGAAATAAAGTTTGTTCCTGCTTCAGTGGCTCGTGATTTGTGCCCAGCCAGACTGAGGCACCTAAAGACAAGAATCATGATTATCTCAACAGATGTAGAGAAAGCATTTGACAAAATACAGCACCTCTTGGTGTTCAAAACACTAGAAAAACTAGGGATAGTAGGAACATATCTCAACATTGTAAAAGCTATCTATGCTAAGCCCCAGGTCAATATTATTCTAAAGGGAGAAAAAAAATGAAAGCGTTTCCTCTAAAATCTGGAACAAGATAGGGATGCCCTCTTTTACCATTTCTATTCAATATAGTCCTAGAAATTAGAAAGGGATACACATTAAAAAAAAAGAAGAACTCAAATTATCACTCTTTGCACATGACATGATCTATATTTAGAAGATCCAAACAATTCCACCAGAAAACTTCTAGAACTAATAGATGAATTCAGCAAATTAGCAGGATATAAAATAATACACATAAATCAAATGCATTTCTATACACAAGCAATGAATCCACTGAAAGAGAAATTAGGAAAACCACACCATTCACAATAGCCTCAAAAAAATAAGATACTTGGGAATCAATCTAACAAAAGAGATGAAAGATCTCTACAAAGAAAACTACAGAACACTAAAGAAAGCAATTGAAGAAGATCTTAAAAGATGGAAAGATCTCCCATGCTCTTGGATAGGCAGAATTAATATAGTCAAAATGACCATAATACCAAAATTGTTATACAGATTTAATGCAATTCCTATTAAAAATCCCAAATGAAATTCTTCATAGAACTAGAAATAGCAATCATGAATTTATTTGGAAAAAAAGAGACCCAGAATAGCCAAAGCAATCCTCAGCAAGAAGAGTGAAGCAGGAAACATCACAATACCAGATCTTAAACTATACTACAGAACAATAGTAACAAAAACAGCTTGGTATTGGTACCAAAATAGACATGTAGACCAATGGTACAAAATAGAAGACACAGAGACAAACCCACATAAATACAGAGACAAAGGCACCAAAAACATATTGGAGAAAAGATAGCCTATTCAACAAATGGTGCTGCAAAAACTGGAAATCCATAGTAGCAAAGTGAAATTAAACCTCTATCTCTCACCCTGCATAAAAATCAAATCAAAGTGGATCTGAGACTTAGACACCAGAACAGAGATCCTGCATCTAATAGAAGAGAAAGTAGGCCCAAATCTTCATCATGTTGGCTTAGGACCTGACTTCCTGAACAAGACTCCTAAAGCACAAGCAGTAAAATCAAGAATCAATAAATGGGATGGATTCAAACTAAAAAGCTTCTTCTCGGCAAAGGAAATAATCAACACATGATAAAAAATCCTGCAGAATGGGAAAAAATCTTTATCACATACACCTCAGATGGAGCACTAATCTCCAGGATATATAAAGAACTCAAAAAGCTTAACTCCAAAAAAAACCCAAATAACCCAATCAATAAATGGGCTAAGGAACTGAACAGACACTTCAAAGAAGAAGAAATACAATCAATCAACAAATATATAAAAAAGTTCATCATCTCTAACAATTAGAGAAATGCAAATGAAAAACTAAGATTTCATCTCACTACAGTCAGAATGGCAATTATCAAGAATACAAGTAATAATAAATGTTGGCAATGATGTGGGGGAAAAGGACATTCATTCATGGCTGGTAGAACTGCAAACTGGTCCAACCACTATGGAAAGCAGTATAGAGATACCTCAAAAAACTTGGAATGGAACCACCATTTGACCCAGCTATCCCACTCCCTGGTCCATACCCAAAGGACTTAAAATCAGTGTACTATAGTGACATAGCCACACCAATATTTATAGCAGTTCAATTTACAATAGCTAAGGTATGGACCCAACCTAGATTCCCTTCAACATGTGAATGGATAAAGAAACTGAGGTATATATACACAATGGAATATTATGCAACCTTAAATAAGAATGAAATTATGGCATTTGCAGGTAAATGTATGGAACTAGAGAATATCATGCTAAGTGAAATAAGTCAACACTGCCCTCCCCTGCAAAAAAAGTTGAATGTTTTCTCTGATAAGAGAATGCTGATCCATAGTGAGGTGGGGGTGGGGGGGTAGGGAAGAATGAAGAAATTTTGGTTTGTGTAGAGGGGAGTGATGGGAGGAATGAGGTTATGGAGATGGGAAGGACGGTAGAATGAGACAGACATTATTACCCTATATGCATGTATGATTACACCACTGGTGTGACTCTGCGCCATGTACAGCCAGAGGAATGAGAAGTTGTGCTCCATTTGTGTTCAATATGTCAAAATGCATTCTACTGTCATGTATAACTAATTAGAACAAATAAAATATAAAAGAAAGAAATAGAAGTTGTATATAAAGATCATAAAATTCAACAAGTAGCTGGGCATGGCGGCTCACACCTGTAATCCCAGCAGCTTGGGAGGCTGAGACAGGAGGATCGCATGTTCAAATCCAGCCTCAGCAACTTAGCAAGGCTGTAAGCAACCTAGTAAGATGATGTATCAAAATAAAAAGGGCTGGAGATGTGGCTCAGTGGTTAAGTGCCCTTGAGTTTAATCATCATCATCTCACACACACACACACACACACACACACATCCAAAAAGTAAATAGAAGGTTAGCACTAATTTAGAACTACAAGTATATTTTTTCAAGTCATTCTTCAATTAGCATGTTTATATATTTTATTTATTTATTTATTCACTAAGCAGTTGAACCCAGGGGTGCTTTACTACTTGAGCTACATCCCCAGCCTTTTATTTTTTTATTCTTTGTTTTCAGATAGGCTGCTTCAGACTCCCAAATCACTGGGATTACAATAGGCATGAGCCACACATTCAGTTCTCTATATTTAAAAAAAAAAAAAAAAAAAGCAGAATGCATAAACTATGGAATGTCATGCATGTGGTTCTGACCAAGCGGAAGTTTAGCATAAGAGCAAACCTAGTAATGCCTATTAATTAGCCGTCAAAGCCACAGGCCAGCGTACTAGAATGAACTAAGGGCTATATAAGGGCCTACTATAAAAACTGGAGTGTCAGAGTACATTCTAATTCTCCCCTCCAACCTCTCTCACCACCAGCGGCTTGGGAGCTACCATAAAGACACAACGGTCAGAATGCCGGGATATAGATGACAGACTTCTCCCTTTTGTTCTTCCTTCTCATCAGTGGTTCTCAACAGCTAAGATTTTTATGCATAGGGTTGTACACACAAACCATGTAAGTTGTACTTTTAAGAGAATTTGAATGGATTTTCAAGAATTGTGACATAAGAGGATTTTCACTGTTAGTCACTAAGCAATGTGACTCTATTTTTTTTTCTCCTATGTGATTATACTTGTTACATACAGATAAAAACCAAGAGTGCCTACCTTTCAGTTCCAGCTGGGAATACAAAACTCTTTTGGGTCATTTCTGGCGGATGAATGGCAACTAGCCAGACAGTTGCCTCAGCTCTATTTTGCACTGATGCTGCTCAGAATATTGGTCCTGATATTGAACCAACCATTGACTTTTCACCAAAAGCTACTGCCAAACTCACCTACCTCCCTGATGTCCTTACTCCAGTGACCCAGCACCGACTCCATTTTCATTCAGTCTTTCCTCCTTTGGGTATATCCTCCCACAACCAAAATCCCTGGTCAACTCTTGATGAGGGGGAAAAAAAACAAAACTTGCTTTTCTTTCTTTTTAAATTGAGCTAAAATTCACATGGTGTGAGCAGCCTTCTCACCTGCCCAAAGAACGGACTCAGAGATGCAAGGTGCAGTAGAAACCAGACTTTAATGAAGGTCTTGCAAAATCAGGTAGCTGGTGAACAGGCACACCCAGAGTGGTCCCAATCAGGATCTTATCCCCTACTGTGCAAGGTGGCTGAGTACTATGGGGTGCACAATCATCCCAGATTTCACCTAGGTATTTCTGTCTCCTGTTGGGTTATTTAAAGAGATGCACCTTTAGTTGTCTCCATCTTCCTTGGTTCTCTTGGTGACAGGAAGGCCTTCTTTTTTTTTTTTTTTTTTTTTTTTTTTTTTTTTTTTAAAGAGAGAGAGAGAGAGAGAGAAAGAGAAGAGAGAGAATTTTTTAATATTTATTTTTCAGTTTTTGACGGACACAACATCATTGTTTGTATGTGGTGCTGAGGATTGAACCTGGGCCGCACGCATGCCAGGCGAGCACGCTACCGCTTGAGCCACATCCCCAGCCCAGGAAGGCCTTCTTGAGCTGTGTGCAGCATTCTGGCAGGCACGCCATTCATACTTCTTCATCTAAGGTATTACTTAGCAGAGGTACTGCTATCTCTGTTGGTTAGGTTGACCTCTTTCCCACCTCCTGTTCAGCAAGGGGCTATTCAGGTGCATTAACTTTGAATCTGCCACATCCACAAGCTACTGTGCTGTAGTGAGTTTTTTTTTTGTTTGTTTGTTTGTTTGTTTTGCTGCTGTAGTGAGTTAACTGCTGGGAACTCTCCACTCTGCTGTTTTTCCCCTCTGGCTGTTTTGTCTTTCATCCCCAGTAATTTTACATTTCAGGGTAAATACTGTATTCTAAAAATGAATCACTGAACTTTCTACTTCTCATGCATAGCAACAATTAAACATAACCATTATGAACAGTCTGTGTATTCAAAACCTGTGTGGCCGCTAGCTCTGTCACATCTTTGTCATCACTCTATGAAGTCACCTATACCCAATCAGTTGTCACTCTCTATTTCCTCTGTCCCCACCCCTGCTTTCTGTTGCTACAGATTTGTCTATCATGTAAAAGGAATCATATAGGCCTGGGAATATAGCTCAGTGGTAGAGTGCTTGCTCAGTGTGCATGAGGCCCTGGGTTTGATCCCCAGCACCCTACCAAAGGAAAAAAAGCATTTTATACAATAGGTGCTCTTTAATGTTTGGAATTTTTTACTTAACACATTGTTTTCAAGGGTCATCTAAGTGGTAGCATCTACCAATATTTAATTACTTTTATGGCTAAATAATAGTCCATTGTCAATATAAACCACATTTGTTCATCTATTCATGTATTAATGGACACTTGTTACCATCTTTTGGATGATACTTGAATTTTATGCCAAAGGGGTGATTCTAGGGGTCCCACAGACTATATCTGGCCATCTGCTGCCTGTAGAGTTCAATCAGAGAGAGATGAATGGTGGCTAAAGAATTTATTAATGGGCTGGGGATGTGGCACAAGCGGTAGCATGCTCACCTGCGTGCACGAGGCGCTGGGTTCGATCCTCAGCACCACATAAAAATAAAATAAAGATGTTGTGTCCACCGAAAAACTAAAATTCTCTCTCTCTCTCTCTCTAATAAAAAAGAATTTATTATTCAGGACTGAGGCTGTAGCTCAGCATGCAGAGAGCTTGCCTAGCATGCGTGAGGCACTGGGTTCGATCCTCAGCACCACATAAAAATAGACAAAATAAAGGCATTCTGTCCATCTACAACTACCAAAAATTTTTTTAAAAAAGAATTTGTTATTCAGTGTGGCCACACTGGGAAGAAACAGGGTGACCAATATTCTAAGCCCTGTCTTCTGGGTAGTCACAAGAGCTTCAGGAAGTCAGGGAAGAAACAAAAGCATGGGTCAAGAAGCATGTGCAGATGGGCAGTCTTGGCCAAACTGATCTGGTGGATCATTACCTCGAAGGTGGTTCTGCAATGGTTCTGCTGGCGCCAGGGAAACGGGTGTTGTGTGAGGGGGCAGTTCATGTCCCATCATGAGATGACTGCCCCCCCTTGGTGCATGGCGTCAATTCCCATCATGGGGTAACTGTTCCCACTTAGAGGGCTGTTTCTATCATAGGGTGATCTTACTGCAAGAATTGCTGTTCCTGCAATTTTGAAAATATCTTAATTACTCTTATCTTGGTGTCTTCAGCCTTGCAGAGGTGAAGTAAATTTAGGGCTCTCTACATAGTATTACCAGTTTTTAGACACTCCTTAAATGATTAATATATGTCTATGTGCAGTGCTGAGCAGGAATCTGACCCAAAGTTTAAGGTAGCAAAGGAAGCTCAAGCCAGGAGTCAACGCTTTCAGGAAAAGCAGACTTTTTCCCTGTTGCATTTCTGACACCAATTCTGAAGAACACCACACTCCCTGTTTCCTGCTCTCCTCAAACAATACATAACTTCTGTGACCAGATATGAGATTTTCTTCCCCACACTCTAAGCAATTCAGCAGGCACCCAATGGGTACCCTATTACTCAATTCAATTCTGACATTATTTTACCAAAGTGTCAGATCCTACAGATTAAGGGCTCAGTTCCACAAGACTGTCTGTCACCTCAGATGCCAGTAAAGTCCTAGTGCTTCTAACAGACTTATCTATAAATGAAAGTTCTCAACACCCCGCCCCCTTGGCAATTTGCCAGGATAATTCACAGAACTCAAAGAAACACTTTTTGCATTTACTAGTTGTGACAGATGAACAGCCAAATGAGGTACACAGAGCAAGGTATGGGGGAAGGACCCAGGGGCCTCTTGCCATCTCCAGGGACCTATTACTTTGGATCTGAAGCGTCCCCTGAAGACTCACATGTTGAAAGTGTGATCCCAGCTGGTGGTACTACTGGGAAGTGGTGGAAACTTGGAGAGGGGGGACCTATCTGATGGGAGTAGGTCACTGTGGGTATGTCCTTGAAGGGTATATCCTGAGCTGCCTACCACAAGGTGAGCAGCTTTATTCCACCATATACTCCCCACTATGATATTCTCCCTCCCCAGGCACCCAGAAACAATGTGCTAAGTGAGCAGATTGAAAATTCGAACCGTTAGTCAAAATAAATATTTTTCTCGCCAGGTGCAGTGTCCCATGCCAGTAATCCCAGTGACTTGGGAGACTGAGACAGGATGATCTCAGATTAGAGGCCAGCCTTGACAATTTGACAAGAAAGACCTTGTCTCAATATAAAAAGGTTGGGGGTGTGGTTCAGTGATAAACTGCCCCTGGGTTCAATCCTCAGTACTGGGATAAATAAATCTTTTCTTCCTTTAAGTTGATTTTCTCAGGTATTTTGTCCAGCAACAGAACACACAGCACCCTCTACATGCTCAGCAACCTGAAAGCTTGCCAAATCTCTGTTGAGTTTTTATAGAGCTTGATCTGCCTTCCAGAGGCTGGTGGTTGGGGCTAGAAGTTCCAAATGTCTATAATCACTTGGTTTTCCTGGTGAGTGCTTCCATCTGGAGACTATCTAGGGGCCTAAATCACCTTATTAGCATGTAGCCTAAGCATACAAAGAGGCTCATGATGAAGAACAAGACCCTCCTATCACAGCAGAAATCCCAAGTTTTAGGTGCCCTGATAGGAATCAGAGACAAGACCAAATGTATACCATATACCACATACATTTAGATATGCTAACTCTGTTTAGCTTTCAGAATCTGCCAAACTGCTTCCCATAGCTGCTGCATCACTTCATGTTCCCACCACACTATAGGAGGGCTCCTATTTCTCCATGTCACCACTAAGTTATTTTTTTTCTCATTAAAATCACCCGGGCTGGGGATGTGGCTTAAGCGGTAGTGCGCTTGCCTGGCATGCGTGTGGCCCAGGTTCGATCCTCAGCACCACATATAAACAATGATGCTGTGTCCGCCAATAACTAAAAAAATAAGTATTAAAATTCTCTTTCTCTCTTTAAAAAAAAAAAAGTCACCCTAGTGGGTGTCAAGTGGCATTTCACTGCAATTTTGATTTTACACTTCTTTTAACAACCAACGGCGTTGAACAATCTTTCACATTTGATTTTTTGGTACTGGGAATTGAACCCAGGGAGGCTTTCCCACTGAGCTGCTTGAACAATTTGTTTGAGGCTGGCCTCAAACTTGCAACCTTACTGTTTCAGCTTCCCAAGTCAATGGGATTACAGGTGTGTACTACACCTTGCTTGGTTGTAACTCTTTGAAGAATGTCTGTTCAATCCCTTTGCTAGTTTTCTAATGGGTTTACCTGTTTAATTTTACATTTAAACAGTCTGATATTAAACCCTTATTAGACTTGTAAAGTCTCCCCCAAGGGTCTTTTGACATTCATCACCTTTGCCACAAGTTAACTCAGATGAAGTCCTATTGACCTATTCTTTTCTTCTGGTGCTTTGGGTGTTCAATCTAAGAAACCACTGCCAAATCCAAGGAAATGATTTACCAATTTTTTTCTAATAGTTGTAGAGGGTTAGCTCTTGTATTTAATAATTATTGATCCATTTTAACAAGTGACAATATGTCCAACTTCATTCTCTTGCTTATGGTTACTATTGTCCCAAAACCACTTGCTGCAGATTCCGCTCCCCTGGACTAGTTTTGAGCCAGACACGGAACACGTACCTATAGTCCCATCTACTCAAGAGGTTAAAGAAAGAGGATCCCTTGTGCTCAAGAGTTTTGAGATCAGCCTAAGTAAAATAGTGAGAGCCTTAAAAAAAAAAAAGTCCCCAGTGGATTTGGGAACTCTTGTCAAATATCAATTGGCCAAGCCAGATGTGGAGACACATGCTACTCAATTCAGGAGGCTGAGGCTGGAGGACCACAAATACCAAGCCAGCCTAAATAACTTGGTTTAAATAACTCAGAAAGACCTGGTCTCAAATTTAAAAAGGGCTGGGAATGTATTCAGCAGTCCAACATACACAAAGCCCTGAGTTCAATTCCGGTACTATTTAAAAGAAAAAAAAAAATCAATTGGACATATATGCAAAGACTTATTTCTGGATTCTCAATTCTACGAATCTGTTCATGCCTAAATGCCAATGGTTTTTATTACGATAGTTCTGTGGTAAATTTTGAGATATGGAACTTGTTATTTATTTCAAAGCCATTTAAGGCTATTCAGGGCCCTTCATATGAAAAGTGGCACCTCCATTTCTGCCTAAAGACACTGTTAATTTTGTAGGGAATATACTGTACTGATTTGGGAGTAACACTATCTTAACAACACTGTCTTCTAATCCATGTGTTACCTTTTTAGGTTTGTTGTCCACTCTCTGCCCTCATCCCAATGAATTTTCATGACTTACCTCTAATTTCCTTTTTCAGACTGTTTGATACTGGTGCATACAAAGTTTTTAGACTATAAATCTGAATTCATTGATTAGCTTTAAATTTCTTGTGAATTTTTTATGTATGAGCATATCATTTGCAAAAAGATTTTTCCTTCTTGGACATTTCCTTGCCTAATTGCTCCACCTACAATTTCCAGTACAAACATTGAATAGCATGGTGAACAAGGGGGCCCTTTTAGCTTGACCTTAAGGGAGAAACTTAGACTGGATATGAAGTGGTAGAGATTGCTTGACATGCACAAGGACTATGTTCAATCCATAGTACCTAAAAAAATCAAATAAAAATTAAGGGAAAAGTTGTCTTGCCCTCTCCCCAGTACAAGTCCTTGAACCCAGAAGCACTCCACCATTGAGCTACATCCCCATCCCTTTTTTGAGATTGGGGTCTCACTACATTGCCCAGGCTGGCCTCCATCTTGCAATCCTCCTGCCCTGTCAGCCCACTGAGTGGATTGCAGGGGTACAACACAATACCTAGGGCAAAAGCTCATCTTTCACTGTTTTGATGATAGCTGTGGTTTTTCATAAACCCTTTTGTTGTGTTTAGAAAATGCCCTATTCCTAATTTGCTGATTATTTTCACTTTTTATTATGAAAGGGTGTTGAAATCTTGTCAAAGGTTATTTTTGCATTGAGATGATCTTGTGGCTTTCTACTGATGTGGTATATTCAACTCATTGATTTTATACTGACCAATTTTACATTCCTAGAGAAGCTCATTATCACCCCAGTGGCACACCACTAGCCTTTTTGCTTTTTTTAACATCTCCTTTGTGTTTAGAACTATCTTCTGAACTTAGAACTAAGTGTCCACCTCTTATTTCTGTACTCTTGAAGCTTGCTTTACTAACTATGGATGGAAGAAGTCATGGAGATCCTACAATTCAAAAACTGTATTTAATTACACATATGTGTGGAAGATAAAGTCATGACCGTTGCTCCTCTCCAAATATGGTTTTCGGTTTTAGCATTTGCTTCATAAAGTACCAACAAACTATCTAGATGAGGGTCTCCCCAAGTGAACATATACCAATTCACTCCTTACCAACAGCATATGAATGTTTATTTCAACAAGCTGAAGTTTTTTGAGTTTTGATGAGACAAAATGTTTCATATGGTCCAATTTTGCAAATCTCTTATTATGGGACTATTATATATCAGATGCAATGGTGTAGTAAAGTATTTTACAGGGAAGCAACTAAGATTAGGGCTAATTTTTCCAAGGCAACCCTTTTGACTCTAATTATTAAGCACCCAATATATCAAAGGATGCTTACAAATGGATACATCAGGTGCATTTACAATATTCTCTTGAGAGTTTATTATAAACCAGTCTCATAGGCCACAAGGAAAATAAAAGGACTATGTACAGCCTTACAGGAAACAGGCAAGGAGCTGAGGAGGACCAAGATGAGTCTAGGGCCTTGGTGGGCGCATTCCCGGGGGAGGGGGCCCTGTAAGGGAAACCAGACAATCCGGTGAGACTCCGCGAGCAACAGCATAACAAACAAACAGGTCTGTGGTAACGTGGCCCTGGGGAATCGGGCCCACGCCTCTGTGGAGCTACTTCCATAACTCTGTGGCCAAGGGTCAAAGAAGGCCTGAAGTAAGAGTAAGAAGTTTAGTCAGTGCCTGATCTGCAACTCAGATCCCCGACCCTGCCCAGCCTCCCACATCCTGCAGTTACCAAGCAATGAGAGGGACATACATGGTGTTAACTGGGGACTTCTCTGGGGTTGACTGGGTTCCTATGTCTGGAAAACCCAAACTAGAAATAGGGATTATGGCTGTGGGTTATCTTAATAGCCACTATGGCTTGGTGGAAAGAGCACAGGTCTGGGAAGCAGGATGCTAATTAAGCTTTCTCTGAGCCTACTTCCCTGTTCATGTAGTAACTATCTCAGTATTTCTCAAACTGAAGTTAAACAGAAATACTTAATAAATAATATCACAAAGCCCTGAGTTCTTCATTACTAGATACTATCAAATCAGAGGGCATATAACAACTTTATTGCCTTTATCAGGGATCCTCAGAATGCATTATTTATCAGTACCCTGAAGACACTGCCTTAGACTCTGAGAAGTACTCTGGGTACTCTAACTGTTCTGAAAGGGGAGGCAAGGCCAGCTCTTTCTTCCCTGTCCTTTCTGGACAATGCTGCTCCCCAACAGTTCATTTCCTTAAACTTAAAGCCAGAAAGCCCAAAGGACATGGTCTAAATACAATTTTCCCTTCACTTCCCACTGCCCTAGGCTCTAGGGAAAGAAGCCAAAATCACCTCAGCAGGCACTTACCGCGCATCCCTGGGGGAGGGGGCCGCATTCCTGGAGGGGGCATGCCCATCGGGGTCCCTCGTCCAGGGGGGATCCCCATTGGGGGACCCATAGGAGGCCTCATACCAGGAGGTGGGCCCATCATGCCTGTAAAAGAAAAGCCCCAAGAACACAGTTCAAATGTCTGTATGGAAAATGTAGCTGGAAACAAAGCTGTCCACCAAGTCAGATGGACCACTCCACCCTCAATCTCTACTAGCAAACTGGCATGTGAGCCAAAGAGCGGTGATCCCAATGGCTCTTGTTCAGCTAGCTAGTTCCAAAGTCAGTCAGTCAGGCTGGATCTCAGAGTAATCCTGCTTAATCATATAAACTCATCATCAGTTTCAGTCAAAGTTCTATCTCATCATGAATCCAGCTAAAGCATATTGTATCTATTCACACTGCTCCCTTTATGGGGTCCTCACCTGGAGGGGGTGCCCCTCGGCCC